TATCTTTTCCTTGGTAATCAATTAATTCACCTTCATTGAAGCCAATTAATTTGATATTAATCTTATAACTGTTTATGATATTTTCTCTTAGATATCTGATTCCATTTGCTTTCAATTAATTTGTTTCCACAGACGCAAATAAGGAAATAGTGCCTGGAGTTGTTTCTCGACTCCTTGAGTTTCTTAATAGATATGATTACCCGCCTCTTCAGGTTTAACTATGTGCTATTAATTGCTTTTTCTTGTTTATTTCACGTGTTTCAACTGCTAAATGCATCAGATTATTCATTTTACTAGTGTGAGGCAGCACTGGCTTTAGAAGGAATTTTCAACTATTCACTTGATAACATCAACGATAACATCAACGTGTTGATTGATCAAGGTGTGATTCCCATTCTGGCGAGCCTTCTTAGATCTCCCAAGGATGATCTTCGCAAACAAGTAGGTGTTGCGTTGATATTTTATTTATCAATTAAATAAGTAGTAAAATAGACTTAAGAGTTTGAATTATCATTCATATAAAAACCACCTGGTTAAAATAAAGAAAAAAAAATGCACGAATAGGCAATTTAGGGTTCCATTTGGTGCACAAAAAGTGTTAGAATTTATGAGTTTATCGTATTTATCCCCTTAATTTCAATCTCCAAATTCCGACAATAATGTGCACCCAATAAATTCTTCTGAATTAATAGATTTATGCTTCTTGAGTTAAAATCAATCCTACTCAATTAAGTCAATTCATTATGCATCTATGTGAATTGGGATAAGCTTTAATCAAAATCATTTAATCGCTAAATAATTCAATTAATGACAGCAAAAGTAGCAAATTATATTACTCCTACTCAAATTTCAGTTTTTACTGATTAAGTAACTCTTCTCTCAATTCTTATTCTTAAAAAATCATCGAATTAATGATCAAGTAATTCAAGGTGAGGAAGAAATGAAATAACATTAATTATAAATAGGAGTATTTTCGCTACAGTTTACAAGTGGATGATACACAGAAGAGAAACGCCAAGTGGAAAACTATTAGTTCACTTGTAAGATTCCAGATTGAAGATTGAAGAAATTACACATTAGCTCAAGAAAAATACTTGAAAGTTGAAGCCAAACGAAAAGGCTCTCTGAATCTGAAGTGGAGCAAAACAAAGGAATGCAAATTTATATTAATTGATTTAAACTAGGATCAATTGATTAATCGTGTCAAGCTACTGATCCGAGATGAAAAGCTGTGCCTTTAAACTAGTGCCAAAAATGACTGCTTTCACGTTTCTTTTTTTTTTTTTCATCTGCGTAGAAATAACACTTTTTAACAGTAAATGACCCTATATTAGAGATATGTTTTTCCAACTTTTTACAAATTGATAAACACCAATACGAGCTTTTAATTTTATTTTATGGCTGCTTTTGACTGTATGTCCAACTATTTTACGTAGGCAATTAACATGTTAGGAATTATTGCCAACGACTCAACACAATCTCGCGATCTTATCCTTAGTCATGGAGTGTTCAACACCTTAGTGGCACAAGTTAATGATAAAACAGAACTATCCATCATAAGAAGTACCGTGAAGACATTGTCATTATTTTGTCTTACACAGCCTCGGTTCGAGTTCGAGCTCGAGCAGGTTTGTCTTCCAAATGCTTTTCTGTATGGTTTTGATGCATATAAATACTGCTGGACCTTTTTATATTTAACCGATTCCATATGGATATTATTGAGCAGGTGAAAACTGCCCTCCATCCTCTTGTTCTTCTGATTCATACAGGCGATGATGAAGTCATTCGCAATGTATGCTACGTATTATATTATCTAATTGACGAGAGAGAGGATATAATCCAAGCTGTGATTGATGCCGGTGTTTTCCGTCATTTGATTGAGCTTTTACTGTAAGGGAAAAAAATCCAACTT